TTATGGTAGTAAATGACAAAAGTTACTTAGATATAGTTTATGTATTCATGAGTTTTCTCTAAAATATTTTTAAGTTTCCAGGTTATGAGGTCCACCTTCAAGTTTTTTCAAATTACTGCAAATGTAAAAAAAAAAAAAACAAAACTGTATGTGAAAGAACCTGTGCAAATCAAAGCCATACAGCTCAAGAGTCAACTGTATAGAAGCTAAGTTCATCTCTGCCAGGATGTGCATTTCTTTGCCTAGTCCACAGGAGTTGCTGGTTTACTAACTACTAATTTTGCTCTGCATGTCTACAGCTGGGTGATACTTAATGAGTCAGAAATATGGGTAACTGAGGATTATTTTCAAAGTGACAACATTAGCACTACTAAGATCAAATTTTAGGTTTGAAAAGGGAAATGGTACCGAGGATGGTGGCCCATGCTTATAATTCCAGCACTCTGGGAGACTGAGACATGACGATCTCAATTTAAAGCCTAACAAGACACCATGTGTAGGTTCTAAATTAAATAATAAGTTCTTGGGGTAGAGGTGCTTACAAAGTAGTCTGACACTTGGGAAGAATAATGTAACTGAATAAAATAATTTCAAATTGATGACATAAAACAGAACAAGAAGAAAACTGCAATATATATCCAAGCATAAACAGAAGGAAAACAGAAGTGGAGGGCTGTCTCTGAAATTAGTTTCTTCAGGTTTCTAACGAAGTAAAGCCACAAAACAAAAATCAAACAACTGCATATGTTTACTAACGTAAATAACCAAATCATAATAGAAATGTACATCCATTTCTAGATCTTACTACTGAAAATCACTTGAAACTTACCATGACAAAAGATTTAAGAGCTAATGAAACTAAATGTAAGTGTAATGGTGAATACTAAACTGATTAATAAGACTTCTAACTGTAAAGATTCCACAATTTGATGAATAAACAATTTGTTTTACTTATATAAACCAGTAACCTTAATCACAATGACGTCATCAATCTGTAAACCAGCTCTGTTAGTTCAGGAAAAATAATTTTTTGCTGATTAGCCTGAGGAGGAACCCCACCTTCTAGCCTAAGAATCACTCAATAAAATATCAAGTTCATTGTTGTTAAATTTTAAGAAAAGAACTCATACTTAATACCAGTCCTTCTTTTGTCTTTTTGAGATAGGGTTTCACTATGCAGTTCAGACTGGCCTTGAACTCCTTGCCCAGACTGGCCTCAAACTAGCAGCGATATTCCTGCATTAGTGCTGATTACAGTTGTGTGCATATTAATTTTATCTAGAAGCAATTAGATAAGATTACAACAAAGACATGTTCTTCACAAATTTTTAACCTTTTTTGTATGTCTTTTCTAATTTTCTACCTTCTCAGAAACATAAGATACTGATCTTACTCTCCCTGGTAGCAGCATGTACAATAAGATTAGGTGGATCAGAAGGTAACATCTCAGAAATATTTAAGAAATATGATTTTTTAAAATTTCATCATAGAAGCAAAATGTTTAAAATAAGTTACTTGGAAACTGAAATTTAATGTCAATAGGGCCTAGGAAACAGGCTACTGGGAAGAGGGAGAGAAAGCACAGCATGAGATAATATGTGATACTTCACAGTAGCTGATGTATAGGTTATATATAGGCCTGAATAAAACTAAGAAGTAACTGGCTAATATTCCAGAGTATTCAGGTCCTAGATGCACTTTATCATCATTACCATCATCATCAAATCTAAAGCGTTCAAAGACCAGTTTTATCAACAATGTCACAAAGGGCTTATAGAAAGGCTTGTTATTGACACTGACATAATTTTCTTAAGTAAAATGTGAAATACTGGGAGCAAGTCACAATAAACAATAGAACAATATAACTATAAAGCAGCAATAACCTATTTTTTAGATCACACTGTTGTAGGCAGCCGAGTTAGACAGAAATATTATAGACAGACAGAGTCAGACCCTCAAGGAGACAAGATGGAATACAAGGTGACTTTGCAACTTGGAAGAAACAGACACTCCCATAAGGGCCACACCTCAAGACCAAGACAAGAAGAGGAAGCACAGCTATATACTTTCCTAGGGATGGGCATTAGGGATTGATATCCTAAATAGTATCAGTCACCTTGAAAGAGCCCAAATGAGTCACTAGCCCAATCCCCAACAAGAAGAGACCCTGTTCCATATTCATGCCCGCCTGCTATGTGACTCGCTTTCCCATTTGATATTGGATTTAATCAATTTTACTGAGCAATGGTGCTTGTAATCTCATTTGTTGACCAAATTTTTTCCCATCTCATGCCCAACTAAGCAAGTTCCCATGTCTTCTCCACCACCTTAGACCCGCTTCACCACATGGTTTTCCTCTATAACAGTCCCTACAAGAGACAACTTTGGGGGGGAGGGGGGCTACCTGCTCAGGGCCCCCCCTCCTGTCCCTCTCTCAGGACAGGAGCTTTCTTTCTCTCAATAAACATATTCTGTTCATACCTCCGTTTGTTTCTAAAATTCATCCCTCAGTTTTAGAGAACACAAACTCGTGCAGGTCCAGTCCAGAGCCCTATGTTATTTGGAGGTCACCCTCCCAAGACCAGTTTTTCTCCCTGTATCAACATGGTATTTAATCTTCCAAATGACAAGGCCAATGTTTTTTTGTTTTTTTTTTTAAAGTTGTGAATATCTTTCATATTTATTTATTTTTATCCATTACATTTATTTATTGTGTGTGTGTGTGTGTGTGTGTGTGGCCAGCTCAGCCCACCAGGGGGCGGGGCTGGCTGGCATGTGGTGCTGGAGGATCGAACCGAGGTCCCTGTGCTTTGCCAAGCTTGTTTCAAGTAGGTGCTTTAGATCACTGAGCCATCTCTCCAGCCCCCAAGGCCAATGTTTTGTATATAGATGAAATGTAGGTGAACCAACCAATGTTTTGCACAGCTATGGTCTGAATGACGTTAAAATGTAATTTTTTAATTCACTCCAAGCAATCTATTTATGTTACAGTAGAGATATATAAATTAATGAGTTGGAAGCAGAAGTAAAAACAATGTTTCTTTATATTGAAAAGCACATATTCTACACAAAAAAGCACTGTATATACATACAAAATACCAGAAGATATTTATAACATAAGTATGTAAAGAATTTTGCTTAACTCTACATGAACTCTTTATGCAAAGCTAATCTTAAGAAACAGAAGATAACTGGGCCAACACATATTATTCTTCAATATCTAAAAATATATTATGTTCCATATAAAGAATTGTCCCACATGTTTTTCTGTTTTTGTTTTTTCCCAGTATCAAGGATAGAACTCAGGACCTTGTGCTTGCAAGGCAGACACCTATGCTGCTGAGCTATCTCCCTGGAGCCTTGTCCCACATGTTAATTCTGCTCTTTTTTCTACTGTTGGCAAAAGGACCACAAAACCCTGAGGAGAAGTAATATTTCTAGTACATGCTATTTTTTTCTCCTTATCTTGTACTTTAATACGATGCAAGTAGATAGTACATGCTATTTTTACATGTCATTGTATTAAAAATCTATCTAACCTGAAGCCTAGTCTTTCCTATATTAAATCTAAATGCTAAGATGTCTCAAAATACACTTCCAGGAAATTAAAGGTCTAGATTACATATCCATTCATTCAAATATTCAACAATGTATTTACTATGTTCCTAGATAGTGTCAATGTACTGATGAAGAACTAAGAGAAATCAAGTAAAATTCCTTTTAAGTACAGTTATATTACAGAGGGCACAGAGTCAGGAAAAGCTAAAGAGATGACATGACAATTGATCTGAATGATACAAAAAAGATAAGTGAGTGAAAGAAAAAAGTTTTATGGTGCACACCTGTAATCCTAGCACTCAGGAGGCCGAGGCAGGAGGATCGTTGCAAGTTCAAGATCAGACTGGAGGCTACAAAGTGAGCACAAGGCCAGCCTGAACTGCACAGTGAGATCGTCTCAAAAGAAAAAAAAAAAAAAAAAAAAAAAAAGGCAAAAATTCAACAGATGCAAATATTCTCTGGAGGCAATAAGCCAACCAGTGTAGCTATGCAGGGAAAGCAGGAGGAACAAGGGTGATGTTATAAAATGAGGTTGGAGTTACATGTACTTCTGATCGTACAGACCATAAGGCTGTCCAGGAACCGGGATTTTATTCTTAGTGATAGTGCTGAGAAAATATAAAGAGGAGCAACATAAAAAAGAAAACTCAAAGAAGGGAACTAATAATACTATTTAGCTTGGTACCCAGCAGCATTATCTACCTTTGTCACAATTTTGAGGCAGGTATCAGTGGACTTCATTTATATTTTGTATATAAAGAAAATGAGACCAAGAGATAATGTACCCAAGAGAGCACTGCCCATAAGTGAAGGAACATGAACTTGAACCTAATTTTAAATATTATGTGCCTGTCTTTTCCCTACCCAGAATAATACCAACCCTTCTACAAAATTTTCACATTATGATCACAATCAAATTACACAACTACAAGTCTGCTATAATATTTATGAAAAATCAATTGGTATATTATATGCTTCTCTTTTCATAAATTTCATAGGATCTGTATCAAGTCTTTCAATAGTGAAACAACACAAATTAATGTCACTTGTCAGAAAGACAGAGTTACAGTACTGATGGCAAACCTCACAATTTATGTATGTGGTACAACAAAATTCAGAAAAACCCAGGATATCTTTGAAGTAACTTACCAGCATTCTAGCTGCTGCACAACAATCATCAACCAGTAACCCCTACCTTCTGTCTTTCCACCCTAGCAGGCAGCAACTCAAGAAAGGCCTGGGGCTTAGAGTCAACATACATGTAAAACCCAATCTAATTACTTACAGAGAAAAACACTTTTCCAGCCTAATGACAGCAGTTATTGATGGGAAATTCAATGCTGTTGCCATATCAAATATAGCAAAAGTCTCAGAAAAAATGTCAGTGAGTTACAGTAAGTGATAAAGATTAACAATGTATCAGTTTGGTAGCTAATACTCACACACATCTGTCCAAGCACCATGAACATCGCAAGCCCATCCTATTTCAATTGTGGCTTCATTATGATAGCTTTAAAAATAGAGAAAAACAGTCAAGTTGGCCCTCCCAGAAGGCATGTTTTGCTTGGAGTCTACTTCTAACAAGGAAGTATAGCACCTAGTTCCTTATTCAAGGGCCACTGCAATATCTTCTATGAAACCACACTGTCTTGACACTGCCAAACCTCAATGAGTTCTAAACATCAACTACAACTCACTGAAATGGAGCTGGAGAGGCTAAATTACAGAAGAGAGACACGTAAGGAGGGCTAAGGGAGAAAGAACTGCTCCATCTCAAAATGATTAATGAGCCACTGTCTTAGCTATTTGCTGGGGACTCACGGCTAGACTTTGTATAAGATATGCAGTTGTAAATACAAAGATTCATTAGGAATTTTAGCACCGATACTCGTTTGCTTCTCCTTTCATTTGTTAGGGAAGGGGATTTCAACAGGTGTGTTACTCAATCTCTTATTACTACAGTACAATGAAAATCCTGAAGCTGAGTATTTATAAAGAATATTATTTAGCTCTGTTTTGGAGGCTGAAATTTCAAACAGCTCGGCACTGGCTCTGGCAAAGGGTCCCTGGCTGTATCATTTCTCAGTGAATGGCACCAAACTAATGGGAGCATGTGCAGAAGCAAGAGATAATACTACCAGAAAAGAAGCTAAAGCATGACTCCGGGTCATGTTTAAAGTTTTATAAACAACTCACTCTTGTGACAACTAAGGGATTCTATGCAAACTACTTTAATCCCACCCCAGGGCATGCCCCCACAATGACACAAGGATCTCCCCCTGTATCTTACTTCTTAAAAATCACCACATTGAGGACCCAGCTTCCAACAGGTGAACCCTTAGGAAACAAACTCAAACCATAAAGGAGACAAAGAAGTATCACTGTCTCCCTAACAACTAGCATAGGAAGGGTGCAAAGGAAAAGAAAAGGTAAGGAGACACACCTTATGAACAACTATTATTGTTTACTAGTAGTATATTCTAAAACTTTGTCCCTTAAATACTTAAAAACAGAAAACACCCATAACGCAATGGTTAGAACATAAGCTAGAAAGTCTGACTGGGTGGAGTCCTTACTGTAGTATTACACTAGCCTAATCTTAGATTTTATGTTCTCTGCACTTCAATTTCCTCAACCATAAAGTAAAAATACTAAGTTTATTGTGGGGGTGAAATCACATTGAGAGAAAACATTCTCTCAGGCTTTCACAGAGAGCAAATTGGTCAAGCAATAGCCATGACTCATCCACATGAATGACACTGACAAAGGATCTACAAACTGCAGTACAGGGTTTCAGGGTAAATCCTGAGGGGATTTGACTGACCTTCTCAGATACAAAAGTTACATTTCTTGTTATATAGATCTTACTTTATCTTGGTCTTAACCATCCAGCAGAAAAGTATAAAAATGAGGTTAAAAAAAAGTAAAGCCATATTAATATGCTGAGCTGTAAAAGGCTCAAGTCAACAACTTCTGACATCGCCAGTCCTACGGATAACCCACTATTATTATGGACTACTGGATTATATTGGATTATTTTGCTGAATTCACGCACCTACAATATTTAAATGGCAAGGGAATACCCATCTCTGACAAAACTAAACAAAAAAAGGGGACACAAATGAAGGACCATTTTGTATCTGCATATACAAAATAGGATAGATATATAGCCACTTTCTCTTAATACAATGAGAAGAAAGATTTGTACTAATAGTATTTGGACAGCATATCATGTCTGCATCTTGTACTATGAATAACTACTACAAAGACAACAATATGCAATGTATTAATTATTGAAACTGTCCTACCAATCGGTTTCAAAACTGTGTCATTGCTATTTCTCAATAAAATTATCAAAAACGAATCAATCATTTTCTTTTTAAAAATACAAAAGAAAGAAAAAAAAGAGAAAAGCAAGCAAGCAAGCAAAAAAGGTAGGTAGGTAGGTAGGTAGGTAGGTAGGTAGGTAGGTAGGTGAATACAAAGCCCAGTGTCTGGACCTTCAGAGTGCACAAAAAACACCTCTAGATAAGATAAAATGTTCAAAGCATGGAATTTATAGCTTTTTAAAGTACAAAAACTGCATTCCCTCTCAGATGAAGCACTGTAAAGCAAAGTTAACTGTCTATGAAAAATACAAATCAGAAGTGGAGTAGGGGAAGTGCTTTGTTAGTTTCCCCAGCAGAATTTTCTTTTTGTCTTGTACAGACCTTTTCTTAGCTTGTTCATGACATTTGTAGGTTTTTTGACACAAAAGTGGAAGTCTTTAGTGATGGGAGGAAGTCTATATGATTACTGAGATGATTGCTATTTTTGATAAATATTCATTGCAGTAATCTGGAAATAACTTTTAACCATCTCAAAGTATATAAAATGCTTATTTATGACACAACAAAGCTTCTGGCCAGATGGTGAAAAAAAAAAAGTTACTGTCCTATCAACAAAGCCTCAACATTAATACACAAAATAGGACTGGGGAGACAGCTCAGCAGCATAAGCACCTGTCTAGCAAGTGCAAGGTCTTGAGTTCAATCCCCAGTACTGCAAAAGAAAGTATCATTTAAGTACTCTATAAGCATTCTCTACATAATTAAATCTCAAATATCTTTATGTGTTTGCCTGAACTCTCTTCCTCCCTCTTCCTCTCCCTCACTCCCTCTGTCTTCCTAATACTGATGATTGCACGCAGGTCCTTAGCAATGAGCTATATCCAAACCAGTCATTATAAACTTGCTCTGTAGTTCAGGCTGACCGTGAGCTTACGACAATCCTGACTAGCCTCCAGAGTAACAGAGCTGCAAGTGTGTACCACCACACCTGCTTTCCTTTTAATATATATATGCATGCTGGGGAGATGGCTCAGTAGAATAAGCACTTCCCTGGCAAGCACAAGGGCCTGAGTTCAATCCCTGGTTCCGTAAAAACAAAAAGGAGATATATATATATATATATATATTTAGTATATGTATGTACAGCAACAGAGACAGAGACAGAGAGAGAGAGAATGATTTTGACACAAGGTCTCACTAATTTCATTAAGTTGCCCAGACTGGGCTCAAGCTTGTTATCTTCCCACAAGTCTCATGGAATGCTGGGATTACAGATGTGTACCACCATACCCACAGGCTTTTTTAGGCAGAATTCAACTTGTGAGTTAAAGATAAAATATGTAAGAGTAAAATGTTATAATGATTAATGACTGTGAAAAAGTTTTCTCTTTAAGCACTTTTTAAGTTTTTTTCTTAAATTATTGTATACAGACAACAATACACATTGCAAAACCAGTTTTAAAATCATTTTGAATGGTTAAAAACTTGTATATATGTCACCAACTTTAAAGACATCTTTTTTGTGTGTGTGTGTGCAGGATCTCACTGCGCAGCTTGGACTCAGTGATTCTCCTGTTTTCAGCCTCCTTAGTGCTGGGATTACAGAAGTGTGCCACCACGCCAGGACTAAGATATCTTTACTTTTGTCAGTTCATTTAAATTAGCCCACTGTTAAGCTGTAAAAACCAAAAGGATTTGGGATCACCTGAGTGCCTACTGATCTGTAAGCCAACCTAAGTAGGTCATTTGAACATCAGCATATAGAAACATATACATTATATCAGCTCAAAATGTTCTAACAAACTTGCTTTAGTTACCTCAACTGATTTAAATTACCAAACAAATACAAAACAGTAACTTTTAGATCAGAGTGCACCATTAGTGAGGTGTCTATCACTTCCCACTGTCTGACTTCAACTACATATTTGGCAATGCCATCAACAAATAAATTCATTCATTCATTCATTCATTCATTCATTCATTCATTCATTCATTCATTCATTTTTGCAGTACCAGGGACTGAACTCAGGAACCTACGCTTGCTAGGCAATTTTGTTTCTTTCAAAACCTAAATTTATCTTCTTTAAACCTTTGTTCCACATGTTTGAGTCTTCTAGTTTTACCATTATCTTTCCTTCTAGTCTGCTAGGGCAAGATGTCATACAAAATTCTCACATACCAAAAATTTAACTTCATACTTACAATTTTCTTCATATTTTCTTCTCTATACTATCAACTGCTTCCTTTCCATAACCACTTGGACATTTTTTTAAAGGGAAAAAATTTAAATAACAATAAAACAAGAGTTTCGAAACAGATTAGAAGAGTAACAATAATACACTGCATATTGTTATCTAAGTAGCAGTTATTCATAGTAGGAAGGCACAAAATATGGCCCAAGCATTAGTACAAACCTTTTTAACAAACAAAGAGAAACTAGCTGTGCAACTATCTAGTGTACTTTTTTTTTCTTTTCTCTTTTTTGAAGAGTTTCTTCCATATTCACAATATCTACTATAGATTGTTGATCTTATTTGCTCCTTCAGTTTCTCACACTAGGGGAACAATACAATGCTTAAACATGTGAGTTTGATTTATTTCACTTATGAGCATGCTTTCAAGTTGCATCGATTTACCTACAAGTTTCAAGTTCATTCTATTTTATGGTGGAATAGTACCCCATTATTTAAACACACACACACACACACACACACACACACACGCATATTTTTATCCACTCTTCAGTCAATAGGCATTTAGGTTATTCCAAGATATAGCTATCACTGATTATGCTGCTATAAACATGGGGGCACATATATTGCTGTGGTATGATGTTTTTAACTTTTCTGGGAAAATACCCAAAAGGGGAATGACCAGATCGAATGGGACCTCCAATTCTAGTGTTTTGAGGAATCTGCACATTGATTTCTACAGTGTTTGCAACAATCTACACTGCCACCAATAGTGGAGCAGGGTTCCTTTCTTCTCACAGCGCTACCAGCATTTATTAGTTGATTTCTTGGTGAGAGCCACTCTTTCTGGAGTGTGATGGAATCTCTGTGTTCTTTTAATTTGTATTTCATGACCACCAATCCTGTTAAACATTTTTTCATGTACTTATTTACTGTTTGTATCTGAGAAGTATGTATTCGTGTCAGAAGCCCATTTCTAG